TCCTCTTCCTCTGGGACCCCAATTATTCTAATATTGTTTTGCTTTATGGTATTGCTGATCTCTCAAATCCTCTTTGTGATCCAGTATTTATCTTTTTCTCTGTTTCTTTATTCTCCATCATTTGCTTTATATATCACTGACTCTTCTGCCTCATTTGTCCTAGCAGTTGGAGCCTCTATTTGATTGCATCTCAGTAATATCCTTTTTATTTCAGCCTGATTAGATTTTAGTTCTTCTATTTTTCCAGTAAGGGATTCTCTAGTGTCCTCTATGCCTTTTTAAAGCCTAGCTAGTAACTTTATAATCATTATTTTGAATTATACTTCCAACATCTTACTTATATCCATACTGATTAAATCCCGGGCAGTGAGTACTGCCTCTTGTTCATTCTTTTGCAGGTTTTCCGTCTCATCATTATGTCCAGAAAATATGAGAAAATATAACAACAGTAACAACAAAATACACTAGAAAAATACACACTAATCAGAACAGAAATGAGAGAGAGAGAGAGAGAGAGAGAGAGAGAGAGAGAGAGAGAGAACCAAACAAGAAGTAGAATAGCAGATGAATTCTGGGACCAGATGAAACTAAGGTCTCCTCCTCCTCTGCCATCTTGGATTCAAGAAGAAGTAGAATAGAACACATAAATAAAGTAGATAATGGATGTATTCTGATCTGTCAGAATAAACTAAATACCAAAATAGGAAAGAAAAACATATATATATGTACACAAAATTAAAATCGAATAAAAGGAAACAGAAAATGTAAAATATTTACAATGTAAATGTAAAAATAAAAATTAAAAAAGACTTAAAAAATAAGAAAACAGCTGAAAAGGAAAGAAATATATAAAATTGAAAGGCTAAAGAGTAACAAAAAACAACACATGCTATATACTGTTTTCCCCAAGAACTATAGGTTAACCATTCTGGTTTTTTTTATTATGAATTTTTTTCTTTTTAACATTTTTAAAAAATTTGAATTTGATTTGCCAACATATAGTGTAACACCCGGTGCTCATCCCATCAAGTGTCCTCCTCTCTCTGATGGGTAAACTTGGTATTAGCTGGTTCCTGTTGGTCTTCTGGGGGAGGGGCCTGTTACTCTGATTCTCAGGTGTCCTTGCTGTAGTGAAATTGCACCACCCTTGCCAGTGGGCAGGGCTCAGTATAAGCTGCTCCAAATTGCACTATGTGGCTGTTTTGCTGCCTGAAGGCTTTCAGCACTGATGGGGGGGGATGAAAGTGGTGGCACCCCATCTCTAGCCTGGGAGCTGAAAGTCTGTACCCTGCACTCCTCTGTGAGCCCCCAAAGAAAAGCAGTCAATCACTCTTGTCTCTCAGGTTTCCATCTGAACTCTGTGTTCACCCAGGTTGTGACTGTGCATTTTTATCTCACGATGTGACACAGCTTTGAGTCTCCAAACTTTATGGGACTCCTGTGGACCCTGGGGAAGGATGGGGGTCTCTCTGCAGTTTTGTCTCTCACTGGGTTCCTGCTCAGAGAGTGTGGTAGCCTGACCATGTGTGTAGTGGTTTGTGGTTCATGGCAACACCTAGCAGAAAGTGGGTGTCTAGACTTGCTGTTTGCAGCCAGCCTTCCTGCTCTGATGCTTTGTAACCCTGGAAATCCTGAGACCATGCTGTCCTACTTGGGATTCCACCCACTTTGCCCCCGAGCACCTTTCAGGCAGACTTTTAAAAGTTCTCATGTTGTACTCCACTGCTTGTAACACTTTCCGGTACCCAGCTTATGGAGGCTCCCTCCTTCGCAGTTTATCTTCTGATATATCGCCTCAGATTCACTTCTTTACACCTCCCACCCTGCAAAAGTGGCTGCTTTTCTGTTTGTAAATTGCAGTAATTCTTTTCTCAGATCTCTGGTTAATTTCACAGGCATTCAGAATGATTTGATAACTATCTAGCTGAATTCCAGGGGCCAGACAAAATTAGGGTACCGTACTCCTCTACCATCTTAAATCCCCTGAACATTTTATTCTTTTAAAAATGTTTTAAATGATTCAATTTCTCCATTACAGGAGATGTAGGCTTTCTCTGTCTTACGGCACTTCTAGTGAATTATATTTTTCTAGGTATTCGTTTCTAGTTCATCTAAGTTTTCAAATTTATTGGTATGAAATGGTCATGGTATTATTTCATCTCTTTAACTTCCACTGGCCTCTTAATTTTTTTAGCTCATTTACCATTTTTCATCTTAACAATATTTTTCAAAATTTAAATTCAATTTGCCAACATATAACACACTATGCTCATCCCATCTAGTGCCTGTCACCCAGTTACTTCATCCCCTGACCTTCCTCCCTTTCTACAACCCTTTGTTTCCCAGAGTTAGGAGTCTCTCATGGTTTGACTTCCTAATTTTTCCACACTCAGTTTCCCTCCTTTCCCTTACAGTCCCTTTCAAGATTTCTTATATTCCACATATGAGCAAAACCATATGATGATTGTCTTTCTCCGACTGACTTATTTCACTCAGCATAATACCCTCTGGTTCCATCCACGTCGAAGCAAACTGTATTCATCCTTTCTGATTGCTGAGTAATATTCCATTGTGTGTGTGTATCTTCTTTATATGACCTCTTTTATATTCCTAATATTGTATTCCTAATATTGCTTGTGCCTCTTTTTTGCTTGATTCATCTCATCAGAGTTTTTATCTATTTTAATAGTCTTTCAAAGAGCCATGCAGGGCTTTGCTGAATCTATTGTATTTTTTTTTTTTTGAGTGAATGTGGGAAGGGGGTAGGGGCAGAGGAAGAGGAAGCGAGAGAATCTTAAGCAGGCTCCATACCTACCATGGAGTCCAATGCAGGGATCAATTTCATGACCCTGAGATCATGACCTGAGCTCAAAATAAGAATTGGATACTTAACCAACTGAGCTACCCAGGTGCCCCTGTATCTTTGTTTTCTATTTCACTGATGTTGACTCATTTTCTTTCTTCTACTTTTCATGGGTTTATCGTTCATTCTAATTCTTAAATTGAGTATTTAGTTGCTTGTCAGCCTGTCTTTTCTTCCAGTGTATTTAAAGCTATATTTTCCTTTCTCTCAGTACTCCTAATATGTATTTATATTATTGTTCAACTGTTATGCAGAATCAAAACATCAGTTATTATGATTTAGTTCATTATCATTACTATCATTTAGTCACAGGGAAGTTTTTAGATTCCATTAGGACTACCAATTGTATGGGGTTTTTAAAAAGTTATTTTTAGAACTATATTGTTAATTGAATAGTGCAAAAAGAACAGGACTTATCAACTCCTTGAAATTTGAAACTTATTTTGTAGCTTGGTCTATTTTTTGGAAAAAATTCCATGTATATTTGAAATGAATATAGTCAACAAACTACTAATTCAAGTTTGTTATTAATATTTCTATTTTATATATTTATTGATTTCTAGTATGCTTATCAATAAAAGGCTTATATTTAAATCTTTCAGTGTGATAACACACTTGCCTATTTCTCCTTATGCTCTAAAACTTTGCAGTTTTCAAAACTATTAGGTGCATAAAAGGAAAAATCATTGAACCAAGAAATATTAATATTTGGGGACCTCTTGCCTCAGCTGTACAATTCTCTCCCATGGGCGTGATTTTGACCTAAGTGGTTGGACAAAACTTGGTGCTAAGAGAGTAAAGCTGTTCAGCACCAAGGCACGGAAGCTCTGTGTGTCCCCATAGCTGGGGCCAGCTTGTGCCCCCGGAGCCTAAAGCCTGCCAATGCTCCTAGGAGGTGGCATCAGAAAAAGACACCCCAAATTGAACCGGCCTGACACCCCGCCCCTGTCTCAGGGAAACCCTGTGAACCTGAGCCAAAGGGCTGATGTGCACTTGTTTACTATGTATGCAGGAGTAGAAGAATGTCTAATGTACAGTGGAACCTTGTACAGTATAAATAACAGCTTTGAGAAAAAAAAACCATGTTGATAATGAGTAAAGACATGTATGTGTGGGGGCAGGGGCCATACAGATCTCTGCAGCTTCCTTTACATTTTGCTATGAATCTAAAACTCTTCTAACAAATAAACTTTTAAAATCCTTTTAAAAAACTATTTCAGGGGCACCTGGGTGGCTCCGTGGTTGAGCATCTGCCTTTGCCTCAGGTCGTGACCTTGGGGTCCTGGTATCGAATCCTGCATCAGGCTACCTACAGGGAGCCTCTCCCTCTGCCTATGTCTCTGCCTCTCTGTCTTGCTCATGAATAAATAAAATCTAAAAAAAAATTATTTCCATTAGCAATGCCTAAAAATGAAACACTTAGGTATAAGTCTAACAAAATATGTATTAGATCTGTATGAGGAAAACTATAAAACTCTACTGAAAGATATCAAAGAAGAATTAAATTAATGGAGGGATATCCTATGTACTTGGATAGGAAGACTCAATATTGTCAAGATGTCAGTTCTTCCCAACTTCATCTACAGATTTGATATAATCAAAATCCCAGCAAGTTATTTTGTGAATATTAACAATCTGATTTTAAAGTATATATGGGAAGCTGAAAGATCCAGTACAACCAACTGAACATTGAAGAACAATGTCAAAGGACAGACTACTTCAAGACTTTCTATAAAGCGGGACACCTGGGTGGCTCAGTGGCTAATCATCTGCCTTCGGTTCAGGTTGTGATCCCGGGGTCCTGAGATCAAGTCCACATCTGGCTCCCTGTGAGGAGCCTGCTTCTCCCTCTGCCTGTGTCTCTGCCTCTCTATCATGAATAAAGTTTTTTTTTAAAGACTTTCTATAAAGCAACATTAATCAAGATAGTGTGTTACTGAAATAGACAAGAGACCAGTAGATTAGAACAGATCCACCTAAATATAGTTAACTGATTTTTGACAAAAAAGCAGACCTTAACCCTTCACAAAATTTAACTCAAGCTGATCATAAACTTAAATGTAAAACACAAAACTATGAAACTTCTGGAAGACAACAAAGAAAATCTAGATGACTTTGAATATGGAAACAACCTTTTAGATGTAACCCTATAGGTAAAATTCATGAAATAAATCAGTAAGCTGGACATCATTAAAAATTCTGTTCTGCAAAACACAATATAGCAATAATCACGCCTCAGATAAACCTCATTGGCTACGATACTGCCACTGCGCAAAGTTTGCAAAACACAATATAAAGAGACACCTGGGTGGCTCAGTGGTTGAGTGTTTGGTTCACGTTGTGATCCTGGGGTTCTGGGATTGAGTCCCGCATCAGGCTCCCCCACAGGGAGCCTGCTTCTCCCTCTGCCTATGTCTCCGCCTATCTCTGTGTTTCTCATGAATAAATAAAAAATCTTTAAGAAAAAAAACATAATATAAAGAAAATGAAAAGCCAAAGACAGAAAAATATTTGTAAAAGACACATGTGATATATAACTGTTATCCAATTGTATAAAGAACTCTTAAAATTTAATTTAAAAATGAACGACCCAATTAAAAAATGGACAAAAGAACTTAAAAGACACCATTCCCATTTTTAAATTAGGTTGACTTTTTACTGTTGCATCATAAGAGTTATTTATATATTCTGGATTCTAGACCCTTATCAGATAAATGATTTCCAAATACTTTCTCCCATTTCTGTGGGTTGTCTTTTGACTTTGATAGTATCTTTTAATGCACACAGACAACTTTTACTGGACTTTTGATGAAGTCCAATTTCTCTCTTTTGTTGTTGTTGCTTGTATGTTTGCTGTCCTATTAAGAAATCAATGCCTCATCTAAGGTCATGATTTACCCTTGTACTTTCTTCTAAGAGTTGTATAGTTTTAGTTCTTATATTTAAGTTTTTTAACCATTCTGAGCTAATTTTTATATATGGTAGGGTCCAAATTAGTTCTTTTGAATATGAATATCCAATTGTTCCAGCACCATTTGTTGAAAGACTATTATTCTTTTCCCTGTTGAATGGTTTTGGCACAAACAACAAATCAACTGACCATAGATAGTTTATTTCTAGAGTCTCAATTCTATTCCATTGACCCATGTATCTTAGCATTTTTAATAATACATTAATCACTTATTACACCTATGAAACAAAGTTCCTTGCAGGTGGGGGAAATATTTGTATTCACCTTAGTGTTTTTAACACATCACTTAGCAAATCCTCAAAACATGTTTACTGAACAAATAGTTTACTTTTGAGGCTCCCTGCATGGAGCCTGCTTCTCCCTCTGCCTCTCTGTCTCTCATGAATAAATAAAATCTTAAAAAAAAATAGAAAAAAATAGAAAGCTTCTGTGCAGCAAAGGAAATATTCAACAAAACTAGAAGGCAACCTACAGAATAGGAGAAAATATCGGGATTATTCAAACACTTACTGAACATTTTGTACAGAAATTTGGGCACCTCAAAGTTGGCAACTGAGGAAAAAATAGGTCATGAACTCAAACAGCAACAATTAAAGCTCTAAGTGTTGTCAGTTAACACAAAGAAAATGCTCCTGAAAATAGAACAAAAATCACTTTCAACCAGGACATCTAGGAGTGTCCCCCACACTAATAAAGTCTTCTTGAAGGGTAGGTTAATACCTCAAATTTCCTGTAATGAATTTTGAAAAAAAAAATAAGGAGACAGGAGTTTGAATTTCACTAATATGGTTTGGGAGTTTTGATTAGCTTTCAAGAGTAAGAACAGCTACTCTTCTTAAGTAAATTCCTGGGACCTATTCTTTTGGTTTATCTGACACATATACCTCAAAAGTACAACACGACCTATAAAATTTTAAAAATATAAGTTGATTAACACAGGATTAAATTTAGATGGCAGAATAGGACTTAGACACACACCTAAAGCCATGGATGTAAATTATAATTTTAGGCCTTCCCTTCAACTTATTCAAATTACTGTCATGATTTTTTTCCCCCACAGAGGGAGGGAGGGAGGGAGGGAGGAAGAGTCAAAGGGAGAGGCAGAGAAAGAGAATCTTTTTTTTTTTTAATTTTTTTTATTTTTATTTTTATTTTTTTAAATTTTAATTTATTCATGATAGTCACACAGAGACAGAGAGAGAGGGGCAGAGACACAGGCAGAGGGAGAAGCAGGCTCCATGCACCAGGAGCCCGACGTGGGATTCGATCCCGGTCTCCAGGATCGCGCCCTGAGCCAAAGGCAGGCGCCAAACCGCTGCGCCACCCAGGGATCCCAGAGAAAGAGAATCTTAAGCAAGCTCCACACTCCATGCACGAGCCCAGTGTAAGGCTTGATTTCACAATCCTAAGATTTTTGGCTTAGGTCAAAGAGTCAGACACTTAGCTGACCAAGCCACCCCTCTGTCATACTGATTTTGAAGAAACATATGCTTTCAAAGCTTGGATATAAAATTTTTTTAAAATCTGCTAGTAAGGGATCCCTGGGTGGCGCAGCGGTTTGGCGCCTGCCTTTGGCCCAGGGCGCGATCCTGGAGACCCGGGATCGAATCCCACGTCGGGCTCCCGGTGCATGGAGCCTGCTTCTCCCTCTGCCTGTGTCTCTGCGCCTCTCTCTCTGTGACTATCATAAATTAAAAAAAAAAAAAAAAAGTTTAAAAAAAAATCTGCTAGTAAAAAATGCAATATATAAACTTACATTGTGTGAGTTATTTCTTGTTCAAAGATCTGATACCAAAAACAGATGAAAAGAAAAGTAGAAGACAGTGTCATATATGAGAAACAGTCTTTGGAATCAGTTAACAGTTCCTCCAGAATATGACCTAAATCTCTGAGCTGTGTGTGTGTGTGTGTGTGTGTGTGTGTGTGTGTGTGTGTGTGAGAGAGAGAGAGACAGAGACAGAGAAATGAAAGTAATCTTTCTCTGCGTGGTTATAAGGATTTTACAAGATGATATATATGTTCATAAAGTAGATACTCAATAAGGTTCCAACATTTCATAATGGTAAGACAGATTAACTGTTTAAAAAGCCTTTCAAAACAGATATTCAATACCTTTATTGTAGAGGAAAAGATTATCAAAATATTCCCAAAAGCACAACTCTGAAATGCCAGTTTTGTTCTTAAAGGACTTAAAAACTTTAATGGTGTTCACACCATACAGTCAGGAAGTAGAACAACCCCACAAAAAAGCAAAAAGAAAAGCAAAAATGCCAAGATCTTCTCCAACCACAATTATTTTTACTATGAAACAGAATTTCCTTACAAATTAAGTAGTTTTTACAGTGGTGACATTTATCATTGATGTGATCTGTTTAATATGACTGTAGTCAAAAGGGAAGTTGGGCTTGTTATTTTTCCAGAAATTGAAAAAAGTACCATCATTAAGATAAGGAAGAGAAAGATTTGTATCCATCTTTTTGGGACATGTAAGGTGAGAGTGCAGTCTCACAGTTGGAGAATTTGTGGCTATTGCTGGAGGAACTGGAGATGCTCTCTAGTAAGCGGGTAATCCCTCTTCCCCGAACACTGCTGTTTTGGCCAGAAATTTTCACCCCAGATGGATAGTCACCTAAGGATATTGGAAATACAAGAAGAGAATATGTAGCAATTTCATGGCTTTATTATAGAGATCCCTCAATTGACTCTTATCCCACTGTAAGCCTTTCATGAATAGGACAGAGATTCTTAGTAAAGGAAAACATTCTCAGAGTAAAAGCTAAAAGGCTGAACAAGAATATTTTTGTTTTTAGCTCCAGAAACCTTAATTGAAGTTCTTCAGGCACTACTTGAAATTTCACATTCCTAAGCTTTTAAATTTTCCTATCTGCCCCAAAACATCACAAAACTATAAAACTATAGCTGCTACAAGAATATCAGACTTTAGTTTTTAAATGCCCTGAACAAAAGTCTGGAGGATAAGTTAAATTATATTAAAGTGATACAAAAATGTACATATTCTAATTGTTTAAGGTGCTAATAACGCCAAATAAAACTCCTAATTCAACAAGATCCTTGTAGCTTCAAACTAATTTAGAGCATCTTTAAGTACCATACCCTGGATCTGATTAAGCTTTAAGGTCCTATACTGTCTAAAGTACATTCTTAGGAAACAGAAGATACTTACCAGTGGGTGGGTTTGATCTTTGTTCCTGATTAGAAGAACTGAAATGAGAAAATCCTGAACTCTCAACCCTTAGCTTCTATAAGTAACAAAAATACAGGGAAAATAAGTTTTATTTTTTAATTATTGGATCTACTTCAATTTCAGATTATTTTTTATAAAATACTAACACCCATTTTTCCAACATCTAATCAACTTTTGAAGAGTATTGCTGAAAAGTGAAGCAGAAGGTAGTGTTTGGAGGGGAATTACAGGGTTAAGACAGGATTATTTTTAAAGATGAATAATAACATGTATCCTGATAAGAATGATTCAGTACTGAGAGAAATGGTAAAAATGCAGGAAAGAGAAGTAAATTGTTGGAGTCATATCTTTGAGGAGGTAAGAGAATAAGATCTCAAACATAAATTAGTTTGGATTGGTCTTAGCAGGAACACAGACAATTCATGCATTAAAAAGCAGAATGCAGTGGTAGGAATATGTAGAAAATCTGACTGTTTCTATTTTCTCGGTGAAGTAGGAGGCAAGGGTATCAGCTCAAATAAGGATGAGGGAAGAGGTGACTGAATCTGAAGTGAAAGAAGGTGAGAAATAACACTAGGACACTGGGAGAAATGGACAACTGACAGTGTTCCAGTAAGGGCTCACCTGAGATTGGTAATGCTGTTTAATAAAACTAGTCAGTATGGCAGTTTCCTTTCAGCCTCATTTAGCTTCATGAGTATGGGAACAGAGTAAGTGAAGAGCTAGGTTTAATCAGGGTATTTGTCAACCAAGTTTGATAAAAAACTTGATATTGCAAAAGTGAGTGGAAATAATAGAACAAGGAATCTAAGCTTCCTGGGAAGGAAAGAGGTGATGGGTGGTGGAAAGAGAGGGGTACAGAAGGAGACACAAGGCTGTTGCACTGCATATATGTCAGGGGTACCACTAGGGTCTAGGGCAGGATAGTGGGAATGAGTACCTGCTGTACACCAGGAAACAGGACCACTGGGGAACGGAAAGTCAAGGAACTAAGAAGTCAGGCAGTTGGAAGGATTACCCATGGGCAAACTGAAACCAAGAATTCAGACAGGAATATTGTTTGATCTCCTGGCTCAGCGTTGCTCTGGGAATGAGGACAACCA